TTAGCAGATCATAGTTCCGCTTTCGTGGAAATCATAGACTTTGACGCGGTTAGGGCACATGCCGGGAAAGGAGCTAGCAGGTACACAGAAAGGTCAGACCTTGAGATGAAAATGCAGAGATCTCCAATGTCTTGAGTGTAAACAGCGTTTCCTTGTTCGTCTAGCCTGAAAACCATTAACCTAGTGTTTCAAACCTTGTGTATTCAATCGGGGAAGAACAGGGTGGATGATGTCAACGGTCTTCCTGTACAACTTAACCACAAACATTTCACCGGTTGTTCGTGACTCCACCAAGTGTTCGGTGGTGAAACACGAATGCATACGCTCGCGTCTGGTCTTCGTTAGCTGGGCAAAGTTTTCAAATCGCAACTTGTGGAACTTGGGATTAATATTGTGCTGCTTGTGTGAACAACTGAGATCCCATGATGCTATGAGGTGGCCTCCAGATCCGGGTATGCGAAACATGTTATCTTTCTTGGAAAAACATGACTCGGGAGGAGAAGAAGCAGGGGTTTTCGATTCTGATGTTGATCCACTCGGAGTTCCTTTGAGCGGGTCTGCAAAAGCTAAGCTGAGGTCCCATGAACTTGACAGCTACAACACAGTCCTCGTCCTCTGGAGAAGATGAGGACATTGCCACGTTGGTGACAATTTGGGTTTGGCAATGAGGCAGAGTTACAAGAGGAGGCAGCAAAAAGTGTTTCGGATCTGTTTCCGATGCAACCGGGTTTAGATCGTCTTGGAGACGCACTCTTCCGTCATCCTTCAAAGTTGCTACCCAGCCATGAGATGACCCAATCAAAACCGTCTTTTTTTGATCCGTCAACTCCAGAGACACCTTCTTCTTCGTATAAGTCAAGCAACGATCATTAGCATTCCAAATCACGAGTTGACCGAAATCCCAATGGCAAGGAACAACGCCGAGGATGCTACAAGGAGGGGTTTGCAGCAAGGAAGACGAGAAGCCATTGGAGCCAAGAGGAGAGGATCTAACCACCACAGGTAGCTTCGAAGGCTGATTGAGAAGCAGAGACATGAATGTTGTTAGCAAAAAACCTAATTTATATTTTGTCAAGCACTTAATTGATGTTCACATCTTAAAAATCCTCCATAAATATAGAAGAAGAGACTTGCTTGCCAAGTTTTCCATATCCATATAAGGAAGGGACTTGCCCACCAAGTTTTCCATCTCTGAATCAATTATGGTCAAACTCAAACACAATCTTAATTACAATTTTTTCAATCCAAATATATGCTTACCATTTCTTATAAACATTTGATCAAGGATCATATTTAGAATATGGTTTAATTCATATCACCAATCTATATTGGCAACAATGGCTTTACCTGCGTTTATTAAAGTTTACTAAAGTTCTACTTTCTAAATTTCAATAGTCAAGAATAGGCCTAAAATTTAGGTATCTACTCTCATGTCATCTCTCTTGTAGTGTGACCAAAAAGACTCTTTTAGCAAACTGGATCCAAGATCAACTCCATTTTCTAATTAATGAACCTTGAGTTTGTTACAGACTGCATATAGTCACAATCTGAGTAAAAACTGGCTGATCTTACACCATATTTAAGCTTATAAACCGGACAATCTCAGAGTCCTTAACTGTTAAGGGCGTGTACAACCTATAATAGGATGGATCTGGGGCACTCAGTTGCAAATCATCTTTTGCAAGCTGAATCTGACGACACCGGAAACCACGTTCTCATATCGAATATGTATGCTGCAGATGCTAAATGGGAAGGCGTGATGGAGTTGAGAAACCTAATGAAGAAAAGGGAAATGAAAAAGCCAGCAGGATGTAGCTGGCTAGAAGTGGATGGGAAAAGGGATGTTTTTGTGTCTGGAGATTGTTCTCACCCTCGTAGAGACAGTATTTTTGACTTAGTCAATGCTTTATATCTTCAGATGAAAGAGCCTGTGGTGTTTTAATAGATGAAAAAAGCTGCAAAGCTAGATCATGATGGTCTACACAAGGACATTGCACATATTTTACAGAGACATATCTTGAGTGAGATAATGTAAGCGAACGATCTTCCTCTTCCAATTATACTATTGTTGTGAAACTCTACATGTTACAAATCTTGGGGGGTAATAGACAGAGAACAAGCTTATGATTAATCTGTCGGGTTTATGGTTTCCACTCGAATTGGGAGATGCTAAAGGAAACAAAGTAAGCAATTCTGGTTCTGTATACCCTGGTTTAGACCTTGGCGATGGATGCAAGTAAAAGCGTCTCTCTTTAATGGCTTTCTCCTCTTCTTCGATGTTTGTTGTACAACTATCTGGTTCTGCTTTCTCCCCTTCTATCAAGGACAAGTTAGAGAACAATGAAGAAGGGGTGCCCACTGGACTTGTTAAAAGGTTGGTATTACCAGATTTAGATGATGGTGTCGTACCAGTGGGCTTAAAGCTTAGAGGAGGTTTGACAATTTCAAGCTTTGGCCTCATACATTGCCTTCTCTCATGGAGCTTTGAAGTCGGCCTCTTTTGTATGGCGGTTTTTATCACTGTTGCTTCTGGTGTTGCTGCTGCAGCGTTGTTCTCTGATGGACCTGTCAAGCGCTGCACAATTTCTCTGAAAGTGTTGGTGTCAGTTTGGACAAATGTAGTGACAGGCTTGCAGGTTGCAACGTTCTGACTCCCTTTGTTATTCATATGTAAGTCCTTCTTTGATTTACACCGATCTTTGTCCTCTGACCTGCAACAAAACTACCGTTTGTTCAGCTGATGAGAAGATGAAAAATATTCAAACATGAAAGGTGACTTTTCACATTTTAGTCCCATCAAGAGAACCGAGGAATGTCAACTTCATGTGAGTTCAGAGATGAGATTGATGGAAGGTAAAAATACTCAGAAGTCTTCTTGTAATCCAAGATTTGATATTTCTTAACGATTTCCTTGGTCATAATTTTTCAAAAACAAGCAACTCAAAACATAAATAGCTACAGATACAACAGATGAGGTAGTCGTGTACTCAAACCTCACCATTTTAAAAAGAGAACTAGCTTCTTAAATGTATCCGTGTAAAAAACAATAAAAAATTGGCTTTTCCTGAATTTGCTTTGACTTGTTGTATACTCAAAAATCTATGTCGAAGTTTGGTGCTATTACTAATTGTGGGAATGACAATGAAGAGGGTTTTTCATGACCTAAATCTATCTTCTTCATCATCATCTTTATGGTGGTTACTTGTTCATATGATGAGAGAACTGTTTATAAAGTTTTTATGTATCATTCATTTTACGATTTGATAACCAAAGTTATATCTCTAGCTTTTGGGTTTCTGTTCTATGCAACCCTACAGAATCACAGAGAACGAAGAAAAAAGGACCAAAGACATACCTGAAGAGCAAGCCGAGGCAGCAAGTGGAGGTAAAATAAAATGAGAATGCCGGTTTTTTTTTTAAGAAATAGGAACTTAAAACAGGAGAAGGAAATAAAAGGGAGAGAGAAAGAACTAAAAGAAGATATAAAGACTGTTGTTGGTCTAATGGTCACAGCTCAGAACTTGTTCATATTACCAGAAAAGAGAAGAAAATGAAAAGAGGAAAATCAGGAGAAGAATATGGAGAGGAAAGAGGAAAATGACTCTTTTATTCCCTTGTTCTTAACCGTTTTTGGGTTTGGGTTTTTGTCACACAAAAAAAAAAAAAAAAGAACTTGTATTATTTTGTTTATAGAACTTAGTTTGTTTGGTCAAACATCAAAATGACAGAATTTGTGATGAGTTTATTTCATTGTTGTCGTGAAGGAATGGAGAAAGGAAGTTAAAGAAGGAAGAAATGCATGCCGTTTCGGTTAAGGAGATGGGTAGAGAGAGACGTCACAGCAACCTCTCTCCCCCGCCCAATTCATAAACCAATCGGTTTTTCTTTTTTCTTTTTTCTTTTTTCTTTTTTCTTTTTTGGCAGTCTCTATTGAATGTGATGAGATATTATTAACTGAACTCATGACAGTTTCTTTAACTGCCTCTATTCGTCCTCTGTGGTTAGTTTTGTTGACTCATTTCAAGTTATGGCCATAACAATTAACAACATTATTAACTGGCATTGTCAAAGATAGGAGGCAACAATTTTTACCTGTGAGTTACCAATACGGTGTCATTTCTTTTCCCTTTTTTTTTCTGTGGACTAAATTTTGTTGTGCGATAATAGTTGACTCTTTTGTATAGCGTTTTTTATTTCATTTCATATACAAAATTAAGGAACTTGAATAGTACAATTTTCATATCTTGTTTTTATAAAAATATTACAGCTTCTAAAATTCCAAAACAACCAAAACAAATTTATGAATCTTATTACTGTAGAGGTTTTTATAGTCGTTTGAATCTTGTAGAACTTACCATATGGCTCTCTAACTATCTTTATTCCAAACCTCAACCATTTTTTTTTTTTTTACTATAATGCTAACACTGAGCATAAAGAAAATTTTACATCATGTAATTTCTACAATGTAACCATTCTTTTTTGTCTTTGTAATACCTTTGATTATGCTAAGGTTGCCCTTTTGCCCTTTGCTTCTCTTGTCTACAAGCAAAATAAGATTTTGATGTTGTTAGTAATCAACTACTGGGTGTGTATCAAAGTGAAGAGAAATTAGGGTGGAGAGGAGAGAGATACCGATTTTCTTGAATCCAGAAACTGGCTATATATGTCATAGAGCTTTTGTTTCTCGGTTTCGGAAACTGATGGTTTAGTTTTAGAAGCGATCGACTTCAAAAGAGGATCGGTTATTATTGGCGTAGTTCCGGTCTCAGGTTTATCTTCTCTGTTCAGATACTCGTGTACAGCTGCAAGTTGCGCATCTGAGAGAAGAGCTTGAAGATCAGCTCCACTGAAGCCTTCAGTCATCAAAGCTATAGGCTCTAAGTCAATATCATCAGCCATTGGAAGCTGCAGAAATGCAGAAAGAATTTTTGTCATTTTAACTTGTAATATATATATATATATATCTAATTTACATATTGTCTAACCAACAAATGAATGCCACAATCTGATAGGAATGGCTA